CGGATTAATCAGCGGGGGACGCTCTTTCACCAAGATCGTATCTCGCGCGATGATAATATTTTTCTTAATAGATCACAAGCTTAACACGCGCTTAACAAGCTTAACATGCTTCGACGAGATGTTAGGTGCTCGCGATAATCGCGTTACGTGCGTCAATGTTTATCGGATACAAATAACTCTTATATCGCGCAGACATCGCCTCGATTCGTTATTTTATCGTTATATAAAAGTAATCGTATCACATTACACACACCGTTGACATACCGAGCGCAGTTACGCTTAAATGCCTACATTGCAGCGCATTTGCGAACTCCGCACATGTCGAATGTAAATTACGTATACCGGGATATAATGTCTCTCTCCGGTTATATGCAATGCGCCAGTCATATGATAAATATTTATAGCATTGTGCGATATACGAACGGTACCCCCGGAATTTATCGACGCACTATATACTATACGCATAATTCTAGAGGAGGGTAAAAGCGCTATTTCTCCGCGGTCGTTATATAAACGCAATTGATGAAGACATTATTTTGTGCTATAATAAACAAAGTGATATATTGCCCATAATAAATAAGCGTTTTTAGAATTTTATAGCATTGTGTGTGTAAAATTTATGTATGGAAAATAAAAGAGTTGCCATACAATAAGTCTGTGTAATTGAACTGCATTTGCATTTTCTTACTTAAAGCTTTATTTCAAGTTGACGCACAATAGATTGAGGAGAGAGAGAAACAATATTACGTAAAAATATTTTTAAAGTAAATTTTAAAAATTTAATATGTTACACACATTTAAAAGCAAATATAGTAAATAAATAGCAATTAAATTATATAATATTTATCGATTAAAGTGTAATCGTGTGTGTAACAGATTTTCAGCTTAAACGTTGATTAACTTCAAAGCCTTCTTTACATCAACGATAGTTATAAATAAAATAGGACAGTCGGCTATGGGGTGCGTAGCCTCTTTTCCCCTCTGTCATTTATTTTATATAAGGTAGTGTTTTACCCAACTCTAGATAACTTATATCACACAACAGGCTACGTAATCGTTCGAATCGGAAGATGTTGTTCTTTTTTTTTTTTAATCTGCTTTCTATGTATTCTCTCTGAAAGAATCTGTCTAATGTGCATGCGTCAATCTATCATACGGCGTATATATATGAGATCGTACATACATATATTACACTTTTTCATATCATTTGTTCGAACGATCGATCAACGTCGACTTTTTTTTATTCCATTTCGAAATTGATGCGATCCCGAGATATTTCAGAAATGTAATTCTTTTGCTCTTTTACGTTACACGTGTTTCGCTCTGATTAATATATTGTTGGATATTTTTGTGTTGACACGTCCTCTCACAAGTCCTCTCGCCGAACTTTGTTTCTTCATCTCGCTCTGTTCTCATAACTTTGAACATAAAACTTTATCTCGTCTCTATTGACATTTCATTGGACAAGATCTACTTTCTCTTTCATATATGCTACGTTTCTTTTTAGATATTACATGCATTCGCTGTGATGCGCGGAGAATGAGATGCAACATAAGATGCATGTTCTGAGAATCGATACTTTACTTGTTTGCACATCGCTCTGCACGTAACCAGAAACAGCCATTCTAAACGATTTGCTGTTCATCTTTGGTTAATGCGCGAGCTCTTGTGAATTGTATCATTAATCAATTTCTATTTAAGATAGATAGTGTTATGTAAATACATGGGGAAATTGAAGGCACATGTGTCTAGCATTATAATATTATATAGTATTAATATATTATTGTATGTATTCTGCATTTTGCATTTATCAATTTTTTAAATCGCATTTTTAGGCAAATATTTACAAGTAATATTTCAAAGAAATTTCTCTCGTCTAATTTATTATACTTGCCATACTCTGATAAATGTCTGTCCTCTGTATAAATACTGTACATATATTCTCGCAATTACTTTCTTTGAAATGCAATTTCAAAATCGGCAAAATCACCCTTTATCAAATGATTGTTTAGTCACTCCACCAGCCCAGAGAGTGCAGTTTATCCTCGGCGAGGAAGTCGGCGACGATGCGCACGAATCGCATCCGCTCTTCGCGGAGATGGAGGAGCTAGTCAAGGAGGGCGATGAGATGCAATGGAAAGAGACGGCAAGGTAAAATTCGAATTGTCATTCTACTCCATTTCCATCGATTTAAATGCAGAAACACGTTTGAAATGCAGAAACACGTTTACATCAATGTCATGCATTAAAGTAATCAAGATTCTAGATAATATTTCTCTCTTTCATCACAAGGAAATAATATCCAATTCTATCTTTTTTATATGTGCAATGTAATATAATATAGCAATATATTAATACAAAATGCAAAATAATTTCAAATTTTTAAATAAGCAGTTTAACAAAGAATATTAATAATTCTTTAAACAAGGAAACAAAGAAGAAAAAATTTTAAATTGTACATGTTTTAAGCTTAAAAAAAAAAAATAATTTTAAGCATCGTGTATTATACATTATGCACAGATGGATCAAGTTCGAAGAAGATGTCGAGGAAGGTGGCAATAGGTGGAGCAAACCTCACGTTGCCACATTATCCCTACACTCACTCTTCGAGTTGAGGAGTCTGCTTTTAAATGGAACCGTCATGCTCGATATGGAAGCAGCCAGTTTGGAACAGATAGCTGATCTCGTTCTTGATAACATGATTAATAAAGGAGTACTGTCGGTTGAATTGCGAGAAAAGGTAAAAATATGGCAAAGAGCACATAAGAAATTTATCTATCATTAAAATAGAAAAATCTCCGATATCTCTTTTTGGAGAGATATATATGAATACATTTGTGATTCTATTCTGCCATTGAGGTAACACATATATACAAGGATCATTCATGAAATTTATATGTTGAATTAAAATAGAAGCTAAATTATTCGTTCCGAAAATAGTAACGTGTTATTGGATATCTGGTCACCATTATGGAAAATCCGTTATCGATTTCGTGGGAACTAAAAAATGCAAAGTTTAAGATTTCATATTCAGAATTCAGTTATTTCCAATTCGAATCAATACTTTAGAATATCAGCCACACATATGTCGCTAATCTGATTGATCAGGCAGGATATAAATATTGTTTCAGGTGAAAGAAGCCCTTCTCGTGAAACATCGGCACCAGCACGAAAGACGTAAAGACAATAACATGTCGAAGTTACCGATCATAAGATCGTTAGCTGAGATAGGACGCAATCATTCCTCATCGAAAAGTAAGTTTCATGCCTCGGCCCGGTGTCGATAATCTTTTTTTTTTTTATTAATTATTCTATAATTATTTGTAATATTATATTTTGTTTTATATTTTTTTACTATTATGTTTAATCACATTAGCTTTTAAATAAAATAAGGCTTTTTTATATTTTATCGTAATTTTTGTTATCCTTGTTAGTCTGTATTTAAGTTAATATTTTTTTGTGACAGTTCTTAATGGCCCGAACTAATATTTAATAATAAAATTGTAATGATTCCTACATTTGAGATTAAATTAAGTATCTACATTCCATTATAAAAACACTAAAATTAAATTAATTTTTCTTAATATTTCTAACATATCCACAGAAACTGAGATTGTCTCTGCGTAATTAATAGCATTATCAAATTCTGTTTGCTACATTTGCCTACTTAATATGTTCACTCACCACACACGCGCTTCCTCTTTCTCTTTTAAGTTTATATATAATATTTCACTTTTTAATTATTCTTTAATTATTAATTAT